TTCTTCTCTCTCCTCCTCTCTCTCTCTCTCTCTCTCTCTCTCTCTCTATTTCTAATTTTTATTTTCAAAATTTAATATTTATTCCTATGTCTTCATTATGCTCAAAGCCTAATTCTTTACTCTGTATTACCTGCAATTACTCACTGGATAAGATCCAAAAGAAACATTGGGAAATTCTTTTACTACAGTTGATAAAGCATTTGCAAAAGATTCTTCTTTGGCATCAATAAATACTTCATCCTTTATAAATTTTCTGTTCATAGAAAGTAATTCCTAAAATAAATAATATATTAATATATTAAAACTCAATTTTTTAATTTTAATATGAAAGAATAGATATTAATTTTTCATTAAGTTATTTACCTCGTATAATCTTTGGAAAGATACCTCAAAAAATACAGGTGAGCCAGGAAAAACATATACATTTTCCATTACAATATATGGATAAATATTTGGTTTGTTTATATTTGTATTTAAACCAAACTTTAAAGATGCTTTCTGTGGAATCTGAGCCATTTTAAAAGCAGGGGATGAAACATCATTTATCCCAAAATGATATTTTATTATTTCTATCAGTTTTGGATGATAATGCAGTTTATCATTAAATGCTTTGGCAAGACCTATATATACGTTAGAATATATTACAACAATATATTAAGATATTATAATTATTATTTTATTATAGTTTACCTTCAAATGTAACATCATCATGTGTTGGCCCAATTCCACCAGATGTGATAACATAAGTATATTCATTAGAAGCATTTTTAATTTCTTCTGAAATTTCTTCAATATCGTCACTGATTACAGAAATCTGCAAAGCAGATTGCTTAATATTATTATAAAGGTATATAATTTTGCATATTATAATTTACAAAATATCAGATAAATATTACATTATTTACCTTTTTCACTTTAATACCACATTTATATAATAAATTACACACATAATAGGAATTTGTATCTTTTACTTGAGCTTTCAAGATTTCATTTCCAATAACTAAAAATTTATAAATGATATATGAATATATAATAACTACTTTAAATATTTATATATAATATACATATAGCTAACCAATTATGCCTGCTGTAGGATATTTTACATCTTTTACATAACACCTTGATGAAAAATATGTAAATTTTTTTACATTAATATGAATAAAACACCGATATAAATTCATTGTTACAAAATTTTTTTGTTTTTATCAAGTATACCTATACATAATATAATCTTTCTAATATTAAACTTGTTACAAAAAACATTGGAAATATTTATAATAGTACAATGTTAACATAGATTGTGTAGTATCTCTGTTTATATTTTAATTTAAAACATTCATATTTTCATATGTTAAAAAAAAAATAACAATTATGTAATCAATACATAAAGGATAATTATTATTAAAAGAAATATTTTAAGTCAGGACAGATTAGTTTATAAGCTAAAAGGTTAGCAAAATAATTATTTATTATTAATTTATACTATATTATTACTTATGTATTTCATTGCTACACATCTGCAATTTTAACAAATATTTTCCTTTAATGCCTAATTATTTTTGCAACATAAACAAAAATTTGGAATATAAAAAAAATTTTTTTTTTTATTTTTATAAAAAGAAATAAGTATAAATAATCTTAAAATAATTTTAAATTTAATGTGTATTTTGAATTCAAACTTTGTCTATTGTTTTAATCAAATTGCAATTGACGTGCAGTTGAATAAAATAAATATATTCACAAAAACAACAAGATCCCTTCAAGTGATCTTACAAATCCCTTTCTCCTCTTTTCCTTAATCTTCTCATTTTCATTCTTTCTCTCTTATTTATATCATGTCATATATCTAGCAATCATTATTCACTTATTAAATTATTAAGTATATTCTCTTATCAAAATTTTAAATAAATTGACAAATAACAAGCACAACAGATATTTTATCAAATTTTATAAAATAATCTAACCTAAAAGCAATATAAAGAATAAAATTAACTTTTACAATATTAAGCAATTCAATTTTTTAAATTTTATTATGCAAAAAGAAATAACTATTTTCACCAAGGTTTATGTAAAAATTTGTAAATAAATTATTTATTATGATTCTACTAAATGAATAGGAAGCTGGATGCACATGAAAAACACAGATAACAGGAACAGGGAATAGGGAATACGCAACAGATTTCGACCTATCAGAAATATCTCCGATATTCTTTCACAGCTTCTGATTAGTCGAAATCTGTTGCTGTTCTCTGTTCCTGTTTCCTATACCTTTTCATTGTGTCCAGGCTTTAGCCCTGTTCTACAATGCGTCGTGTGTCACAAGCCGCAAGTCACAAGAATCAATCACAGACGAATATGGGGAGAATACTTGATTGTGATTGGCCCATTCTTACGGCCCACGACCCATGACACCGATACACGATTGTAGAACAGGCCTTAGAGTGACGATTACAAAATGGTTGCGTTCAATACAGAAAGCAGCTTTGGAACTGTGTAAGATTCTTCAATATGATTGGTTTATACATTTAGATCCATGAGGAACTAAGGGCAAAAACCAATCATAACAAAGATTTTATAATAGTTGCAAAGCTGCTTTCTCTGCTAATTCGCAGCCAATGTATGTATGTATAATCTGATGCGCAAGCATATATTTGTTCACCATCTGTGTAACATTATCATTTGTCACTACCTCATACAGGATACAGGTGATGTGTGTGTGTTTTATGCTTGGAACCAAAAGTTATTACCGATAGAAAAAGTACAAAGGTGAGGGAAATTTGTTGAAATGCTCGACTTGCGCTTCCATACACGTACAGAATATTTCTTTTACAAATGAAATTATCAGAAACTCGTTATTAAATGATAAAGTAGAAGAATATATAATTTAGTCATTATATATAATTTAGAAATTAAGAAATAAGAAAAGATATGCAATTCAGTTTAATAAGTGTGATATAGAACTAAATCAATTTATATCTGTATTGTGATTTTATCATGTTTTCTAATAAGTTTATAAGAATTTAGGTTAGATGTCAAAGTAACATTATAATGAGCAAAATAAAAGTGATTAGTTATTAAAATTAAATGTCATTTTTAATCCATTTTTTATTGGCATTAATGATTGTAAAATATACAGAGTATTAATTTTTTGTTAATATCAAGAAAAACGTGTAACGAAAATTGAATGATGGAGTTATCTGTCATTTCACAACCTTGAACCAGACGAGCAGATGTAGTTAAAATCAATAATCATATCTTGATAAATATAATGAAAATATTAATTTTGCTTATCTTTCAACAGCATTGTAAACTTTTATGTTTGACATTTATAGAAAATATATAAATTTAAGTAAAATGATAAGAGAAAAAGAGAGATATGTAATCAGAAATAATTACTAGTTATGATGTAATATAAGCAATCTTGCTTTGAATAGTAGTTTATGATTACTTATTAATTATTATTTCAACACACAAATATATAGACATATAACAGATAAGATGTATATAGATGTATATACAGTTATATAATTTTTATAATTTTGTAATTCATAATTATTAAATTAATGAAATATATATATATATATATATATATAAAACTTTCTAAAATAGATAATAACTTTGTAAATAAAATTTATAAGAATTATCTATAGACTTTTTTAAAATAATTTATATCAATTTCAAAATTTTTAATCTGTATGCAATTTTTATAAAAGGTTGAATCAAAATTATTTATGCTAAGATTAAAAATTTTCAGATAGAGATTAGCAGATTCTACCAAATAGTTACAATTATTTTGTTCATAAATGGCCACCCCTAGTGATGACACAATAGTAGATCAAACATTGTCTGAGAGATTACTGGAAAAAGGTCGAAAGTCACCATTTCTTATTGCAAGTATGTAACTCGACATAAAACACAAATACGTTAATATTTTGTTATAAGTTATGATTAAGGCTGCGTAGTCACCACGGCTATATTGGAATCGTGATGTCATAGGCGAGAAATGATGCAATAAAGTTTATTGCCGTAATTTTGTAAATAAAGAGATATTTGACTAAAATAACACCTAATATGACTTTAAGAGTGAAAATGGGCGGCTGCTATCCTAATAGTTAATAAATAGCTATAAAAGACACGTGAAGTGTTGAGGTGGAAAATACATGATTTGACAGCTGTTGAAAGAAGTGGAAAAAATGCTTTTGTATAGACTGAGTTCGGGGAGCTGTTAGAACTATCGCATCATTCTATCTTTAATATACATATAATGAGCAATAAAGATGAAATGATGTGATAGTGCTAATAGCGCACTCCCCAAACACAGCCACAATGTGCAAAGATAATTTTAGCTACCTGCCGCCCATTTTTACAAATCTGATAAGTAAGAAACAAGTCACATCTTCACGATTAAGCACAATAATGAAAATAGCTGCAATAAAAAATTTCATTGTCCGCATGTCACTTATATAAAGATTAACAAGGCTGAATGAGCTTCTATTTTTCATCGCGATGGTACGTCGCTATGTCAACATGAAATTCTTAATTGAGTAGCCGTCAGATGCCTTAATATGATTAACATGATTAATATAATTATTATATTTGTTTTATAAATAGGTTTGATAAGTTTAGCAGGCATCTGTGGTTATGGAGCCTATGCTTTCAAGAAGAGAAAGATATCTACACAATTATATTTGATACAACTTCGAGTTGCCGCACAAGGAACAGCAATAGCTTGCTTAACAATAGGAATGGGATATCATATGATAAGAAAGCACATCTTACATGATGAGACAGAACCATAATGCGGGTTATAGTTTAATTGCTTATAAAAATATCTTATTATGTATGTAGAAAAAATTATGTAATAACAATTTATGTAAACATGTAATATAAATGGTTTATTCAGAGGAATTCATCAAATCCATTTCTAATGATGTTATTAAATTTATTTAAAATATATTCTTAGAGCTAATAATAAGAGAATTATTATTAATAATATTTAATGATAATATTTAATAATAAGAGAATTAATATTAATATTATTTAATGTTTATTAATAGACTCAAATTGTATTGCGATGTTGCAGTGGATATATATTGATATAAAATTATGCACAACTAAAAAATACATCAGAATTTTAAACATCTACTTGAATCAATTTTATTATTGATTAATAATACTTATTACTTGATTAAATTATAATTTTAATTTGTTTTTTAAATAATTTGAAAAAAATTATTCCTGTGTATATTTGTTGAATACTAAATTTTGAATAAAACATGATCAAATATATTTAGCTATTGTAGCATCATGATACATGATAGTAAATATACTGGCATTTAATATCTCGAGGCTACATTCAGAAATGTTATCTGAGCTTAGATATAGGCAGAATTAGGAAAGTTACTTTTTAAAGTAATATTGTTCCAATTGCACCACATTTGCACCAAGTATCATGGTGTAAGGAAACAAGTGATAAAGAAGGACACAGTGTGATACAGTGAATCATTTCATCCTTGTTTAACATTAACAAACAACAATGTTAAAATAATTCACTGTGTTACACTGTGTCAACTGTGTCTCTTGTTGGAAAATGCCCAAAGTGTGCTCGTCAGGTAGATTTGGAATCCGGTCTGCGCAAATATGACGTTGAAACAAATCGCCTTCCATATTGGAAAATAATAGGAAAACAAACAAATTTATGACTACGTGACATGTGATTTGATAATAGAGAATTTAATAATTATTAATAATAAATTATTAATTATTAATAATAATTATTAATAATAATAAAAAGTTACAATAGTAGTTCTCAATTAAATAAATTCATTAATTGTTTTTTTCCTTGTTTATACTACTATTTTGAATATCGCGAGAAAAACGCCGATTGGCTGACATACATTAACATGGCCGGCTACTTGTTCCACTCATGCGCAAGAGCACACCTTGTTTCTTTACACCACGGTCCATCTATACTATGTCTATGGGTGCGATCGTCGCGCGCAATAGGCCGTTGTGTGATCCAACGGTTTGGATTTTTCGCGCTAAATCGTCCGTCCTGAGATTAGCGCGTGAGCCATCGCGAAACCTGCAATGTTTCGCCTTCCGTAGAACGGTTGCAACATGTTCGTGACGAACCTGGAAAAGGATTTCTACGATGTGATACAAAGAAGTGTGAGTCGACGCCTCGTTTTACCGTGCAACGGCGTATTTCGGCATCTTTTGTATAGGTTACTCCGCAGCCTCGTTTCTCAAACTCTTTCGAGTCTTGGTTTTTTTTCGCGATATTCCGATTATTTCCTGGGCTCCTCCATCTTTTGAGAAATTTACACAAAATTGCACAAAATTCTATCTTTTCGTGGATAGAAGAGTGGATCATACATGTGTTACTCCATTGTTCATTAATTAAATGTCTGTCGCAAATAATAATAATAAAGTCTTTATTAATTTATACGAGCAGCGTGTTTTTGTTTATTATTCACTTGACAATAAATAATCATTAAATTTACATTTATATTTACATAATTCTTTTTGTTTTTTAAACAGACTAGGAAACTGTTATGTATATTTCCTTTGTTTTTTATTATTATTAATAAACATGATGTAAGGGACATATTTTTATATTTTTAATAATTGATAATTCCTTGTGTTAAATGTATATTCTTTTATTTACTTTTGTACATGATTCGCTTTAAATGTTCATGAACTTGAATTATGCATGTATGATTCTTTTTTTATTCATAATAAATATAATGCAATTTACTTATTATTGTTTATTATTGCCTGTGTCTTAATTATTTATATAGCAAATTTTTGTTAAATTTATATTCAGTGGAATTTGTACAAACAGTTTACAGTTATGTAATTTTTTTATTAAAAACTGGAATTATATACGCATGAGCGCTTTGGTTTTTATTATTAATTACCGATTTATTTTATATTTTATAATAAATAATTCTTTGTTAAATTTCTATTAGAATTTTCACAGATATTTCTTTAGAATTTTCGAAGATTTAAAAATAGTCTAATTGTTATTCAATTTTGTGTTAGAATTATATATAATTTATTTCATTATTTAGAGATGTTTACTTCTGGTGAATTTTGATGTTGATGCAATCTGTGCCTGTAGAATATTACAACAACTTTTTAAAAATGATCACATGATATATACTCTTGTACCTGTCCGAGGTATTCAGGATATGATAAATGCCTTTGATGAAAATTGCGAAGAGGTAATAATTAGAGGATTTTAGATATATTTACTATATTGTAAAGCTAAATTCCACTTAAGTAATAATGATAATAATTGTGTTAGTAATAATAATTAAAAAAAGTTTTTCTTTTAGATAAAAAATGTTGTTATGATAAACTGTGGTGGTACTCTAGATTTAGTGGAATTACTTCGACCAGATGAGTCTGTGGTATTTTTTATCCTTGACAGTCATAGACCTTATGATTTATGCAATATATATTCAGAAAATCAAATACGTATTCTTGGTAAATCTGATGAAGACAACGAGATTCCAGAATATAATGATATATTTCGAGATGATAGTGTATGTGTGTTATAAATTATCATATTTTATCGTAATTTCTATCTCTTTCAGTTAAACTTCTCTAATTTAAATCTCCGTAAAACACAAACTTCCCTAATTTGTATATGTATATAAATTGTACACAAATGTATTTTATTTTTTATTTAAAATATTTTTAAATAAACTATTTTATTAAAAAAAAAATAAAGTTTCTAAAGGAATTAAATTTCCTAATGCATATTTTTAAATGATTATATTTCAGCTCGAGTTCTAATAAAAGATTCTAATAAAAAATTGAATAGAGATTGCTGATTTCATCTCCTTTTCAATATAAGTGGATTTAAAAAATAATAAGTATCCTTTTCATTAGTAGAAAATATCCATTAAATTTCGACAGAGAATCTAAAATTTTTCATACTTATTTAGAATCATATGTAATATATATTATTATTTCCTAGAAAAAAAAACCTCTATAAGAAAAATCTCGAAGAAAAATGAGAAATAAACACGACATATATATATATATATATATAAGCGTAGTTATGTGCGCTCAAATATAAAACTCAAATTATTCCAAAATTGACTTTTATATCTTGAAAAAGAATCCGCGATATCAATACTTTCTTCTTCATTAGACATTAAAATAACTAATATGTACAAACAGCGCAATAAATTTTTCGCTTATGTAAATTTGTAAATGTAATATATCTTTTAAGATATAAAATCTTTTTAAATTAGAAATATTGAATTAAAATTTGATTCAATTTTAATATATACATATATATATATATAAAACACACATCATATATATATATTTTTTATTTATTTAATATATTTTTTTGAAATTATAAAATCTTTTTTTTTAATTTAATTTTAATAACACATATACACATATACACATTTGCATACACACACACACACACACCTATCCCTAATAATATATGTTAGTATTACTGTATTATTTCTGAATATTTGTAAATAAATTGTAAAAAATTTGTCTCCATGCTTTTAGAAATTCAAATACTTCATAGCAAAAAAATTATAATTCAACTTATCTATTCTTGACATTCATGTTAAAGAAGTTTAATTAGTTAATTGTATTTTCTATAATTTTGTTTAATCATATACAGTCAGATGAAGAAGATGCAAGTGGAGAATCAGAAAATGAAAACGAAGACAGACAAAATAAGAGACGAAGATTAAATGAAGAAGATTTATTGAAGCGAAGTGAACGAAGAAAATGGGTTGAAAACAGAGCAACAATTCTTTTCAATTATTTACAATATAGTTACTATGGCAAATCAGTATGTACTATAATTTACAATCATGATAATAATAATGAAATTATATCTTCAAAATTTCATATATATGCTACAGAGTGCGATAGTGATATTTGAAATGGCTTGGAATATGTCAAAGGACAATATAGACATGGTATGGTGGGCCATAGTCGGTTCCACAGAACAGTTTATTTTGAGCAAAGTGGAATCACGAATAGCCATTCTTGAGGAAGGTACTCTTCAGGCACATGTTTCAAGATTAACACATAGGCAGGGTGTTGATGCTGATAAACAGCAACAGCAGCAGAGTGTTGTAAAAGTTACTTATGATAAAGAGTATCCTTTTACATATGTACTAAATTCTTGCCTTGATACTTAAATTTGGCAAATATTAATTTCTTAATGATAACAGTCTCCAATTAGCATTATATCGTCACTGGACTGTCGAAGCCAGCTTGAAATATTCAATGTCAACTGCAGTATCATTACGTTTATGGTCCATTAGAGGAGAACAACGTTTGAAAGAAGTTCTAGCTGAAATGGGTTTACCTCTAGTGCAATCCAGACAATTGTTTCGTGCAATGGATCTTACTTTTAGACAAGAATTTAGGCAGATGGTTGAAAAACTAGCTGGAAAATATAATGTCAATAGCATTATTGGTACTAGTTTTACCCTTCAATATGGTTATCGTTTCAAATATTGTTCTTCAGATATGGTATATGCCATGTTGGCTTTACTGAACTCCTCGGTAAGTTAATTGTTAAATATAATATTTTAATATTTTTTCTAATAAGATTTACTTTTACAGACAAAAGATAGACAATCACAGCGTTGTTTCTTAGATGCACTAGACTGTTTGTCACGTACAAAAAAAGATGTTTTGGAAAGTGGTATCGAAAAAGCAAAGCTTATGCTTCACAATATTTTTAAAACTGCACAGAGTATATTAGAAGCTAAACAAGTGAAGAATTTTGGTTCTTTTTTATATCTCAATGTACCAGAAGGAAATATAGACAATTATTTATTTGCACATCCTTATCCTTTGATCATGCTAGCTCAATTTGCGCTAAAAGCGTATGTAAATTCTTCGAGAAACAGACGTGCTTCTGAGTGGCCCCTTGTTGCCTCTGCGATATTTAATGTAGAAGAGAGATTGTGCCTTCTTGTTGGTATACCACCAGTTTGTGAAGATCAACCCAGAAGGTAACATTTCTGAATATGAATCAAATATGATTTATGTTTTTTATTTAATTATGAATTTTTTTGTTATAGTTTATTTGGGAAAGCGTTCGAGCAAGCTGCAAAAAATAAAAATTGTTACATTGAGGCAGATTATTTTGATAGTACAAGTAAGTGTGAAATTGAATTTATAAGTTGCACGAGTCACTAAAATCCATTATATTTAATGTTTTTTCTTTTTATAGTAATAAGACTGAAAATCGAGGAAAGACCCAAGTTTCTTGATGCTTTGGCAGCACTTCTTGCATAATAATCCATTAAGAATGATGATCACTTTAATTAAATTTTTAACTAACGACTATTAAAGCAATTTGAAGCACCTTTATTGCTTATGACATATGGTGCCTTTTTTAAAACGCAAACTTATTGTACAGTTTTTTTAATCAACGACAGTAGTAGCTTTATAATTGTAAAATATTTAATGTATAGTAAATTAGGACTGATATAAAAAATAACATTGTGTGAGTGTAATGTGTTGTATAAAAAATGGTAACATACAACAGTAAATGATAAATAAGTGGAAGGTTCTAATAAAATGTTTGCATTAATAATTTAAGACACATGAGTGATATGGATTAAATATTTTTATAAAAAAGAATTTGACAAAAATTGAAAAAAAATGCATATATGAATAAAGACATTTGCTATATCAGATAATTGATACGCCGCTCATCATTAACCTATACGATAAATTTATACAACATAAATGTATAGTTATATAGTTATATAAATATTGCGTTAAACATCTACATGTCTGCAATATTAATATAATGTAGCTTATAAGCTACATAACAATAAATAGGCTATCTTGGAAACATAAGGATTTTTAATGTGCTTAACTAGTATTTATTTGATAATTTATAATATATTAACGTATGTATATGTATTTTTAAAATACAATTTGATCGATTTATTTTTGACTGGTATGAGATCGACAACACATATATGTAAACCAAACATTCCTAAGTCTTCCCATTATCAGAGATGAAATCGCGATAGTTTAAGAAAGATAGATTAAATTTATATTCTTTCTTAGACTGTTTAACAACAAAATGTCGCTCTACTTGTCTTCAATTGATAATGATAATTTGTTGTAAGATAAAATGAAAACAAATTATAATTTCTCTTTCACATATAAATTGCCAAATTTGATTTCACATAGCGAGAAAAATGCTTGGTTTAGATACGTATGTTGTTAGATATACATACATTTTTTGGTTACATCCGCAAAGGACTATGTAAGAACAAGTACAATTTTACACGCGAATTTTTCCTTAAAGAACGACGATATCACAGAGATAGAAACAAAAAGGAAAAAGAGTGTGACTTCTTTGTCTGAATAATTTCTTTTATAAAATTTGATAAATACAAATTTTGTCAGGATGTCTATTTAAATGTTGTAGAAAAATTTTTTGAGAATTCCCAGATATTTTTATTCAAAATTTTAAGTCAAATTAGAGAATTCTTCTTGGAAATTTCAACTTGGAAATAAGCTTATTTTGTATGTATGAGCCTCGCTGTATGTGTTAAGAATATATATTTAAAAAAAAAGAAAAACACAATGTACAGTATATTAAAATATTTAAATGCATGAGGTATATAAGTATGAAAAATTAAAGGTTAATGCATTGTTAACAAGTCAAACGGATAAAATATTAAAATATAAATCGTTAAAATGTCAAATGTCATTGTTAGAGTAAAATCATAATATAACAAAAGTCGTTAAATAACGCATTTCTGTGTCTTTTTGAGAAAGGCAAAATTTAAATTTAAGATGTTGCAGAAATAAGTGAAACGACAAAAGTATCTAAACATATGTACATAGATTTTGACACTTAGGTATTAATACATAAATTTTAATTATGAAAATATAAATCTAACAAATAAAAATAATATACAAAATAACAAAAATAACAAATATACAAAAAGTCGTTACGAAAAATATCGCATTGTATAATATAGACGAGTTCAGCATCCCCTTAAAGACAAAATTTCACAAAAAAAAAATTCCCTAAATTCCAAGTTTTTCTAGTTTTTCAAATTTTTTCAAGAAATAGACATCCCATATGTTTAATTAATTTTTATATGATTTTAGGCCGGCATATGTTCGTTTGTTTTTGATGTTTTATGTACTGTTGCTATTTTATTTATTGGCAGTCTGTTATTAAGAAATCCATCGACAAATTGTTGTACGGAGTCCACAGTAATTTCAGCACCATCCTCCATTACGACGTATATCCCTCGTGGAATATCAATAGCGGTTAAAAGAGGTACTGCATCATCCAAACCAATGAATTCACGAAGAATGTCGGATGTTTCACACTATAAAAAATTATTAAATTAGTTCAAGATTACATTTTCCAGACAATACAAAATCCGGAATCAAGACATAAAATATCTTAGACATTTTTTAGACATCTTTCACAAAGACGTCTTATATCCCGATATTGGACTTTGTGTTGTTTGGATTTGGATGGAGAAATATTTGCAATTTTGTATATATATGTTTATATCTTACACGTATGCACACACACACACACACACACACACACACACACACACACACACACACACACACCAGCTTACATCTAAAGCTATGTAGAACTGCAAAGAGTCATCGTCAGGATCATCATAATTTGGATCATAGTCAGGTTGATCCCTTCTATACACTTGTGCAGCTGGTAGTAGTACACTTTCTCCAAACTGAATTTCACAATCTTCCCCTTCTGTAAAATGTAAAAAAACGTCTAGACAACTTAAAAGTTGCAGCACATTTTTTATTTGCGTTTATTTGTATTATTTACACGTATATGTGTAAAAGCACACTCACACACACATATACATATATATAGGCACACATTTTCATAATAACTTACCGACAAATAAAATAATAGCTGGAGCATCATGTAACGACGTAGCGTATTTTTCTGTTAAGATGTTTACTAGTCTACTAGTCCAGGGAAAGTTCTGAAAATGCAGATAGCCTTTATGATAACCATTAATATCATAATAGTAAAAATTTTAGAATAGACTCTATATTAGAGAGAGAGAGGGAGAAGGGAAGAGAGAGAGAGAATAATTTATGGTACATTATCATTCATAATTTAACAGTAGCGTTTCTATTTTGTTAATATAAATATAATTCTATTTATGAGAAATCTATTAAAATTACCAGTCCTTCTGGATCTTCGATTAATTCGGCGCGTCCATCCAGAGTAATTATATTGTCGCGAGAATCCAAAATGACCAAAGTAGGTATTGCTTGAACGTCGAAAGCTCTCGTCAATTTTCGACGTCTTTCTTCTTGATTAAAAGGTATTCTCAACCAAGGCATTGTTTCCGTATACGTATTGTAGGAATCTTCGCTCCTGTAATAAAAATGTACAATTGGAATCCTCCACAAAAGTACACAAAGAAAATAAAAGAATGAATATGACAACAAATACACAGAAGTCATTTGTCAAATAAAAGGAACAAATATTTTGAGATAAAATGCGGCGATTTCAAAGACAAAAGTGCGTTTTATGAAAGTGTCTACCTGTCCGAACTCACAAAGATTACTTCAAAATCATGACCTCTCTCTCGGATTCGTTGATACGTGTCTATAAGTTGTGGAGTAAATGCTTTACAAGGTGGACACTAAAATTAAAAGAACACAATATATTGATAAAATGATACATAGAATGATGATAATCAAATTAGAATTTGATTTTATAAAAATTAGGCCAATTTTATAAAGAGAAACAAAAATAACAGATCAATTATATTTTAATAGGTTTACGTATAAAAATATAATTTTATTATATTAAAATGTAATTAATCTATTATTTTTATACCTGTATAAATATGTGTTTTTATTTTTTTATATTACAGCTTATATAAAACCTCATCATAAAATCTCATAAAACAGGTAAGATACAGAAATGTCTAACTAAAATTTCTAGGAGAAAGCAAGGAAACATTTCTAACATTCACTTGAGATCACTACTCACCCAATGTGCACTGAAATAAACCCCTTTGAAACAATGACGGAGTTCCTCGTGCAACATAGGCTCGTTGCTATCACGGGAACCGCATGGTAGAAGAGGTCCATCTTCGAGAGCAGCTTTTGGATGCGGAGGTCTCCATGGGAATTCCACGCCGGTAGGGTCGGCGACAGTTCGCTCGACTCCTCCTCTTGTTATGATGGAGCCGTTGGACGCTTCCAGTAAAATCAACGTCGGTACGCCCGCTTTTATTCGATATTTCCGAGTCAATCTGGTCTGAAAAAAAAATAAAAAAAAACATAAAGATTAATTCATTTCGAAGTCGCAATCGGATTACAGAGATAAAAAAAATACGGCAACTGCAAAGCAAAAATTTCTCAAATCTATTTGTACGATATTTCTCATTTTGGAATTAAAATTGCAAGAATTCAGAATTATATAATAGAATAATAGAATACAATAGAATTAATCAGTAAATTAATAATGCCAATAGTCAGTACTAGATGTGTTTAAATTTTATGTGTATTTTATAATAAGGTATTCACATTTCGATCCTTTTTTTTTTCGATCCTCTTTAGTACAAAATTGAATTAACTCTTCAAGTGCATACATATTTTTTTTCGATATCTTCGCAGCGCAAAGATCCCCAATTTTTTCATTGATGAAACAACTCACTGACGCAGCGTTTTGTTGTAACCGTCGATCGAGTATATCATAATTTGAGTGAAAAAATTCACGCGTGCGTACACGGAGTCTAAATCTCTCAATCTTCCCCCAAAACTATATTAAGTTGGCCGATCCTCTCGAACGTTCGGAGCTCCTTGTGCAGTCCGATATCTTGAGGGAAGATTGGGCGGGATTTCTCGTATCGCGCAGGACGCCTCCTTACAATTTACAGCCGCGCATAAAGGGTGAAAGGAGCGGATATAAAGAGGGTGGGCTAGAAAAGGTGTAAGGCGAGGGAGAAAGGTCTCGTACGTAGCGAATACGTTGAATCGCGCCGTACGTTATCGCAAGTGTAATACTTTTACGGAACGGAAGAGCAGGAGGAGGAGAGAAAGAGAAAGAGAAGAGGAGGAAACAGAGAGAGAGAGAGAGAGAGAGGAGGGGGAGGGGGAGGGAGAGAGAAGGGCGCGAAAGAGAAGCAGGATGGCGTGTGGAGGCATGTAACTGCGCCCCTTCGTATATTTCCCGCTCCTGCGTCACGTGGTGCCCTACGACGTCCTACAACGTGATACTTTCGCGCTCGCCCTCGCTCGGAGTTTCTCGAGCGGTCGATAACGCGTGCATCCTCCCTTGCTCGCGTTGCCACCGCTCAACGACGACGCTGTCATTATTTCCCTTACTCCAGCCTGTACACCAGGCACCATCATAAACGCTTGCCCATTAGTGTCTGGATAAGTTTCGGAATCTGAAACCCGGTGTCTTTTTAATTAAAAAAAAAAAACCCCAAGAAAAAAGAGAGAGAGAAATTAGAAAGAAACCCGCCAGTTTATTAAATAAAATCAACGCTTGCTGCTTGTTTCGGTGAAAGTTTACGCGAGAAACGTTCAAACCTTTTGAAAAATCTATCTATAGAAAAATCCGACAAACTTTCTCTTTTCAGTTTTTAGTTTATGTGAAACGTGAACTACTGAACTCATTCTTGTCTACTCTTTACAATCGTGAATTTTTTCCTAAAGGAACTTAAAAACTTTCTACTTTCTACTTTTATTTTTTAATTCACAAATATCTGAATACATTTTATCCTAAAATAATATGCGGCAACACAAGTGTCTTTTTATATTGATGCTTGACGCTCATTTTCAGAGTCAAAATAGATCAAGTGATCAAAAGTAATTATTCAAATTTCATTCTGCGTCAATTTTGATCACGTGACTTATTTTGACGCTAAAAATGCGTCGAGTATCAGTATGAAAAGGTACTTTTATATACAAATTCGCTTGAATATTGGGCATACTTGAGCGTGTATGTTTGCATATGTTGCACAGCTTAAAAACTGTTAATTATTTAATAGGAATAATTATTTTCATAAATGTAGAATAAAATAATATTAATGTATATTGTTATTATAAAAATTATTAAATTATTATTAAATAAATAATATGTGCAAATATTTAGATACAAAACATATCCTGGATGTTTCAATGATCAAATTCATGAAGGTATTTATGATCTCGTCGATCTAATAATGAACGAGCATTTATGACGTCCAGTGTACATTTACTACCACTGTGACGTCACAGTCTACGTATTTCCGTTCCTCTCTCGCTTCTCTCTCTTTCTCTCTCTCTCTCTCTCTCTCTCTCTCTCTCTCCCTCTCTTTCTTTATCTTTTTTCTTTCTCCCCTATCCTTTTCCTCATTGTAGAGATTTTTCCTTCTCATTCGCTACCGACAAAATCGCTCTCGTCGTGACTTCGAGTGGAAACGAGCAACCGAGCTTCTAAAAAAGAACCGCAAGAGAGACGAGGAAAAAAAAGAACGATGAGACCGAGATCGCTTTTGACTAGTCGCATGCATTCAATTGCCCCCCTCTCTCTCTCCGTACCCCTTTATACAGAGAGACCACAGTCTAGCCTGACGCCTTCGTCGTGCGCGCTCGACTGCAACCGCGTGTCTTCCCTTTCGACTCTCCCCCGGTCATCCCGCGGGCGCTGCTTATGAGCAATGTCCGTAGATAAGCGAATGTCGCGTGTGGGCTGCTCGTTACGGCGGCGTGGGGGCTTTACCACTTTTTTTTTGCAGACTAGAGATACAACGCTCGAACGAGACACTTCCTTCCCACTTGAGCGATTATAAATTTCAGATATTTGAAAAAAATACGAGAAAATTTTTACCTGAATTATCGTTACATAAAAACGAATCAAAGCAATTTTTGCAGCATAATGTTACAACCGACAATGTGAAATGTTTATTAAAATAATATCTCACGACAGGGATCTAGACTACTTTCAGAGGCTTCCTATCCCTTTTCGATGTGTGTGAAAATAAGGCTGTTTTTACGATTTTCTCTTTTTAAAGATTCACGCGATGATTTCAAGTTTTATATGTTTATCAGAGTTAGGAAAGTTATCTTTTTTTAAAAGCAACTCAGTAGCCGAATCGAAAAAATTTTTTGTTTCACTTGTTAACAGCGTGAGTAGAGCACGAACTTCAAGTTTTGCAGAAAAATTAAAAGTTAGTAATTAAAAATTAGTAATTAATTATCAATTTAAAATTAATATTACACATTTTTGTTAAAGATCAACTTTTATCATAACACAAAAATATTTATTTTCAAAATTTTTGAAATTTGAAATGTTCATGTCTTAGATGGATATAGATTGAAGATATATGCAAAAAAAGTTAATCAATTCAATAATTTCTGGGATATCATGTTCGCAGAGTTTTATAAATAACTTTCGGCATTTTTGACAGCTTCCAACAGATTTCTTCACAAGATCATATCTAAAATAGTTCTGAAGGGATACTGATACAAATACAAACGTTCATCACAAAGAACAATAAAGGAGAACAGAGGGGACAAGTTTTCGAGGCATCGATCGATTAGAGAAAGAACTACATATTACAAAGACAAGTCGCACACACTTTGCGCGATGATAGAACACGAATTTTCAAAATTTTTACAATTTCTTTTGATTTTTAAGATTTGAAACTATACAAAAACTGCAAAACAATTGAAAACAATTGACTATTTTCAAAGTCTCTTCAGTAGCTCCAATTTTTTTTCTATAAATATCGATTTGTCGAATGTCTCGCTAGCACATGTCTAAATACATTAAGTGAACTAATTTAATCTTTCGACTCATCAATGGTTAAAAGAAATTTTAAATTCCTCTGTTATGCGATTATTAATAATTGAAAAGTTCGATTAAAGAAGGGCTTATATAATAGCTACTGTGAGAAATTGGCTGCGTTCAGCAGAAAAAGCAGCCTTGCAACTGTTGTAAAATTCTTTAATATAATTGGTTTGTATATTTAGATCTAGTGAAAAACTAAGGGCAAGAACTAATCATGTTAAAGAATCTTACAACAGTTGTAAATCTGCTTTTTCTGCTGAACATAGCTATTGATACACGATGATCGCGTGGCTTAAAGTTTCTTATCGCTAGTTTAATTTTTCTTTTTCTGCAAACACGAGGTCGGCTTTTCGTGCATTCACCATTTTCTCTTTGATCACAGACTAACATGCCATGCACAATTTATAGGTATGCACGAGATAAAAAAAACAAGCGAAACGAGCTGTAAAAGAAAATCGCGATATGAAACGAGCGATAAAATTTTGCTTGTCTATAAACACATGCATATTGTTAAATTAGACGGTATTTATATATGTTCTTAATTATAATCTATAAAATCTTTAATAATTATAAATCTATTTTGAAACAGTGATCAATTAGCAAGGCTAATAACATAATTAAAACAAATAAAACATAAGAAAAAATATTTTGTAATTATAACAATGTGCTATATTATATTTTTAAGTTAATACAATTTCAAAATTAAAAATATCAATTAGATTGGATTAACAATAATTGGCAAATTGACAATAATATTAATAACATAGCAATTTCAGTTATTTTATGTTACATTATATTTTATATAAGAAAATGTTAAATAATTTATATTCAAACGAAATGATAATAGAGGATTTGAATTTATTTTGTTTAAGTTTGAGTCTACTTAAAAATTTCGCTTTCATTTTTCGAAGTAATCATAGAAAATTCGAAATTATGCGAATTTATTTGTAAGATACTTAATCTCATTATTATAAATAGCGTTCGTCGCTTTAATATTTTTTTCATTTTTAAGTCCCAAAGGCCTCAAAATTAATTTTCAGTTTTTAGTTATCTCTTTGATATTAGCAATCCTCCTTTTACAGGATTAAAATTATTTCTACATTGAGAAAAATTTTTAATTAATGTCAATATTAACTCTCTCCTTTTATTTTGTTTAAACTAAACTACTCTGCTAATACAGATATTTGTTAACAAGCTGTATGACTTCTGATCAGCACATAAAAAAAGTGCATAATTTTCTCATTTGTAGCAACTAATTAATAATTGTTTTACATCAAATGAAAGATTAAATTAGATTTTGTATCTAATCGAGGACTAATTTACGTATAAATGAAATTATAGATTTGGGGAAATGAATCAAAACAGTGGGCAGGAGAGAAGCCAGTTACCTGTCAATCAATCCACTCGATAACTTAATTAGTAAATTTCGTGTAATCAGTGAAAACTAATACTCACTAAAACATTTCTCCGAGAGATCTCAATGTTTAAATCAATAATTCAGTGGATCAGTTTGTTGATTATATTATGTATAAACAATTATACATTACGTGGTATCGAATCAAATACAATCCAAATATCTAATATATTTCAGTTTTCAATATCTCGATCAATTTAAAAGATATTTATAAAAAAATTAATTACGCAGAATTTCAATTTTATATATTTTATTACAATATAAATCTGATAAAAATTTTCTTTTAAAAAATTCATTAGATGTTTTCAAAATGCAAAATTAAAAAGCTTCGTAATCACAATTTCGGTGGGTGAGGTGTAGCTTTACAATTTTTAATGTAGAATTATGGAATGTATATAGTATTATTTCATGACTTCGTCACGTTCTCAGTGGTCGCAATTATGTAAATATGGATTTAAATCATCGATGACAATGTCGTTTCAAATCGAAAGCCGATTTCTCCGATTAAAATTCAAACATAATTATGCGAAGAGAAAACGAGCAGAAACATGATTGAAATTCCATAACTTTTATTCAGACTTTCACAGGGAATTCCGAGGGAACGACTGTTCTCACTTCATTCTTCATGAACAAAGCTTGTATGTACAAGCTCGCGCCAGCGAAGAGAAACATGCAAGCTCATTTTCATCCCTTTCTTTCTCTTCTGTTTCTTATCATTATCGCGTGAAACAAACGAGAATGCTATTTGAGAAAGATATGGATCGTCCGTCTGTCCGGAATAGAAGACTCCCCGTCGTTGGATTCGACCTTTTTTTTTTTTTTTTTTTTTATCTTACGGAATGTGTTTCTCGTTAGCGTTGCTCACGGATAAAGACGCGTGTTTTCTTACAAGATGATTCAAAAACGTCCAAGCTATGAGCTCGCTGATTAAAACGTTGAAGCAACGGATCCTCTAGAGATATATTCATGAATCGTAGCCGAGCGTTTTTTTTTTTCTCATGAAGATAAAGAAGAACTATACAACACTATGCAACAATTTCATGCAAAAATTTATATATGCAAAAATGACGAATGACAGGTCGACAATGATCGATGTGATAAATAAATTATGCATGTTTCGTCGCGTCCTTATTGATGGAAGACAGATGGAATGATAATGGATGGAATGCATAATACAATTTAAATAAGATTACTATCTTAAGATAGGATAATTATCTTAGCTGTAAGTCATTTAAAACTGTTGACTACGATCTTTTTTTGTTAAAAAAAAAGTATGAAAAATCAAATTTATACATGACATTTTCAACTTTTTTTAGTTGTTATATTTTACTAAAAAGAAAACCAACTTTTAATCGTATAAAAAAGTAATTATTTGAATTTTAATAAACATCCACTGATGATCTGTATTAATTTGCTTATAAAATTTTCTTATCCCAACATTATATATAAATATAATGCAAAATAATTTTTTTTTCAGAAAAATATAAATTAATTAATTAATTACCATTTAACAAATATGCATTCCCCTTAATACTGGTATTTTACATCAACAATAAGAAGAATGCATATTTGTTATATAATATATACTGGAAGTTAAACATTGATTATTGTGATTAACAATTCTTCTTGCAATTCTTCTTTTTTTTTTGCTACTTAATCACAATGATCATTTTTTTGCAATAATTATATAATTAAATAAAAAATAATGATAATTTATTAATATGACATGATAGTGTATAATGATATTACGTTTCTTCTTAAATATGTTTAATAAAATAAATTGAAAAACAGAAAGTTGATTTATTATTGAAACAGTTATCTTATATAAAATTTTAATTATATTTTATTTACAAATAAAATACATAAATAATATATCAAAATATTTAAGTTTTAACAAATAGAAACAATTTTAAATAATCTGTTTATACATAGCAAATATCGATAATAAATTAAACTACTACGCGTACATAAAATTATTAAGAAATCAAGCGTCATTTTTTTTTAAATGTAAAAAATATTGGTTTATTATATAAATCATTTAATTTTGAATAAATGTGACGTTACGTTTTTATTTTGTATAACAGTTTTCTAAAAGTTTTCTCAAATAAAATTGAGATAAATTTATATTTATATTTATTATTTATAGAGGACTCTAACTCTTAACATGATAATATTAAAAGTGATTATTAATCAATAATTATAGTTTCAACTTTTTTTTATAACTATGTTTCGAGATCAACAAATGACAACGGAACGGTAGTTTGCTCAGCTGGGAAAATGTATAAAAAAATTATTATATTGCATTATCATTAACAGTGCTGGTTCTTATTTGGCATTTATCTCTCGCTCATTATTTTAAACTCTAATAAATCGTAAGATCCTCTTGTTTGATAAAATCGTCACAAAGCATTCGTAATTACAATGAGACACTCTTGAAAACGATTTAAGTATGGAATTAATGAGCGAGGATCAATTGAGACGCTGCTTGATATTGATTACTACTAAAGCACTCATTAAGCCTCCAATTGGAACCGATTAAAGATATATATTGTATCCTGTACATCCCTATTATAAACATCAATGAGCCTGGAGTACCTCTGCCGAGTAAAATATAAAATAGTTCGATCATTCTTCAGTAACGATTAAACGTTTCAAATATTAACATTATTTTTAATCTGATATAATATGTTTGTAAATATATTATTGCTAAAACATAAGCGTAATGTGAAAGTTTACGTATTTTGATTCTTGAAACTAATTAAAATCCTCATTGAGAAAGAATATAATTAATCTGAATCGCATATATCGTTTTGCTGTAAAATTATTACTCTTTTCGCATATGTTTGTCTGTTGTTAAATATTCTAATTATTTGAGTATTTCTTGATCAAAGAAAGAATTCAAGATACGTTGCATTATAACAATAATGGATAACAAAACATTTTGCTACGTCCAAAGCATTGTCTTTTTGCTCTTTTGAATCATTTGTATATACGAGCCTATTCTTATAAATTGTACTTTCTCAATTTTTTTTTTTTTTTTGTTGCAGCATTTCTCTTGTAGCTTCGCACTGTATAATCGGGGAATGGCAAAAAACACATCACGCTGATGAATACGTCTCGAAAAGACGAAACATACATGCATGCATGCACACGACCGATCCCTCCTTCTGGCACATTCGCGCAAATAAAATTCGAACCTTAAATAGATTGTGTATTTGAAAGGGTTAAAATGCCTGGCCGAAATGAAAAACAGAAGTCGTTGTGTACTTGTCCGCTCCGCAGCCGGAATAATATTTCGTGCGTGCATGCAACTCCCAAAATCATTGCCTACGGCGAGATGTATACAGTCTCACATAATATTACAATTCCGTGTTGACACACACACACACACACACACACACACACACACACACGACCG